TTGTTAATCTTACCTTGATTATCAATAACTGAAAAATCTGCCCCATTCTGTAACATGTAATCCAGACATTCTAGATGTCCTAGTGTGGCTGCTACATGAAATCTGTCAATCAAAGAAATCGCACATTACTCCTACATGGTTTACCTCCAGTATGTGTTCAGCAAAAAGGACAAGAACTGATGATCTGAGGCATGATGTATTTATTAGCTTTAGGTTCATACATGTACTTCCACGCTTAGCAGCTATGCCTTCAGAAATAGCGCAGTTTTGCAGAGATTTTAGTGCTCCAACTTTTGTAACAAAAAGTTTGTATTATAAACATCCCGAGATGGCTTTAAAAGATTATGTAATGTGGAAACATGAAATATTACGAACATGTGATCAACATGTGATGAAGCTAAATATGATTAAAAATAAAAATCTCTGAGGGGGGCACTTAAGAAATCAATTAGTGGAAAACTGTAGCAGCGAATCGTTCCACAAATGACTGCTTTTTTGAACGCATTCCTTTCTTTTTATCACGGAATTGACACGGGCATTCGCTCAGCAATGTATAACAAAAGAACTTGAAACTCATCTGTTGTGCATGGAAGAATTAGTTTTGTCGTTTACATTCTTGAACTATACTGTATTCAATCTAACATGACATTGCATACTAATAATCTGCATTAGTCACAGTCAACTACTTGTATGATATTTGCTCCATTAGAAGCGCATCTCCAGTCAAAGCATGTAAACCAACAGTTACATATATTGTATATTGGATATTTAAAGCAGGAGGATCATCACCTGCGCACGCACGGGAATTGAGTCCTAAGCGACGATAACAACACACGCTAAAAACGCAAAGGCTCATCGGTAGACACTTGTTTATAAACAATGACATGCTGTGGCCGTCTGACGCATGCGCAGGTGACGACTCCCCTGCTTTAAACTACATTTTGAGCATACATAGTACATTCAAATCTGTACGTCATTTACAGCTTGAAGCGGTTGCGCTACTAATGGAGTGAATGTACGAACATTTTAAATCTATCTCAATGTGACTAGTATTGTTTTTTTTGTAATATTCTATTTTGATACAATACATGTAAGTTTAATTTCTAGTAAAGCACAAGTCTTGCAACCTGGTTGTATAATGTTGTATGCATTTATCCACCTACACTGTATCAGGAGTAGGGTACTAACATGACAATTTGACAAGATGTCAAATTCCTTCCCAACATGTCAACTTCCCAAGAGTGGAGACTCAGAAGCTGTAATGCAGTGCATTTAGTGCATTCAGAAAATAGAATACTGTAGAATACTTTATTTTCGCTTAGAATTTATTTTCGCTATTTTCGCTGAAGGCATGATATCGTCAAAATATAATCCAGCGAATATACTTTTTCCTATATTTCACATTAAACTCATCCAAAATCAGTGAAAATAAATTCCAAGCAAAACGCAAAAAAGCCTTTTCAGCGAAAATTAATTCTAGTGAAAAAAAATATTCCACAGTATTGTCTGTTTATTGCAAGATCCTGCGTAATGAAATCAAACATAAAAACAGGTCAAGGAAAGGTCATAGTGGTGTCAAAACTTCGCTATTTTTTGGGGGTATTTTTACGCTTAGTAATGTGCTATACACATTTAATGATGATCAATTTTGATAAAGCAAAGACAATATCACATTCCTCTCTGAAAGATTGGCATTTCGACATTGAACTAAAGAAAAATTCAAGTTCAAAATCAAATTATTCAATTTTTGCAGCAGACATACAATCGCAAGTGAACAGGAAATCACCTATTGAAAACTTGACACAACTTTTTCCGTGAATAAATTATCAGTAACCAAGTATGAAATACATTCATTGTTTAAAATGAAATTTGTAAGTATGTTACACACCGAAGTGACAAATCGTCCAAACATGAAAATAGTTGTCACATTCTCAATTGTAGGCGGTGTGATTGAAGCTGTATGTTATTGTTTCCACTAAACTTTGTTGTGAAGCAAGTTTTTTAATTGCGATGCCTATTTGTTATTAGATAAAAGGTGACGTTTTAGTCCATCCTGACAAATTAAAAATACATATTCTGAAAATGGCAAAATTGAAAGAATAATACTGAATACTGAAATAATAATTCATCATTACTGAATTAAATTGCCGCACTGTATTCGAGATACTGAAAATGATAAGAATGACATTCGCCTAATTGTGGATATACAAATTGTTGCTTAATACTTACGGTGATTTTCCCTCTGCATCTAGTTTACAAGGCGAGGTACCTTTCTTTCCCAAGATAGACTGTAATTTATTGATATCGCCAGTGGTCACAGCAAAGAGGACCTTGTCATCATGCTTGTTCCATTCACCTAACTAAAAAAACAATAAAGTGAGGGACACATTAACAAACTTTAATACTCCATGAACCGATCACTGTTTGAGTCAGATTTATGATAGTTAGGTAACTCTGAGCTGAACATCCCAAAAGGGTGGTGACCCCCTACCATGGGTGAATGAGTGTGCCACAGACTCAAAGGAAAGGCTAAATCCACTGGCAGGAAATAATTTATTAATGGATGTGACTTGTAGGGAACCTTGGTTAATGTCTGTAGAAGCTTGCGTTCAATGAGGCCTGGTTGATGCCAGGTTTATGCATTAAATTGCCATTATGATAGGAAGATGATCACACAGCCATGCCTGTGGCAAAATGTGCTTGTAATTTGCATATTGAAAAAAAGTCAGGACATTCATTCATTCATTGTCTGAAACTAATATAAAATGACACACTTATCTACACTATTTTGCAAATAAAAATGAACACCAAATAGACAAACTTAACTAATGTATGTTTTTTTTTTTGGGCCCATTCACAAATTAATAGTGGAATTATTTTCAGGGTTGCAACAGCAAACATGTAAAATATAACACATTATGTAATAATTATTGTAATTTTTGTATGCTGAATTATTAAAATATTACTAATTTTGACCATAGACACACCTGTCATTTACATAAGTGCACCTGATAGATTAACTCTTGTATATTTCCGACATTAGGAACTGGCATTTATTTACAGTGTCACACAAATATAATTTAACAACATCACTTCTTATTTGGGAGATAATAACGTAAAAAAGGTCTATCTCAGGATTGAACCATTAAAATGATGAGACAGTTGATGAGTTATAAGAAATGTACTTTCAACATGCAAAGTATGACCTGTTTACTAAATAATACTGTACTATGTAAAATGAAACACCATTACCAATAGAAACCAAAAGTATGCACTAAAAGACTTAAAAATTGAAAAAAAAAATATATATAGAATTTTCAATCATTAACGTCATTCTGAATCACAGCGAAATTCCATTTGCCATCAAATTATAATTAAAAACTTAAATAATTAAATTAAAATTATAATTAAAAATAGCAATGAAAATTAACCAATCAACAGTACATATATGTCTTACTTTACTTCTAATTTACTGTCTTTCAAACCATGTGTTTGAAAGGCAGAGCAGACTTCCCATGTATCTGATTTATTCTGCTTTAATAGTAAACAGTCAGTTCCAGGGATCAAGCCCACAACCCCCCTGGAGTGGTACACAAACCGATGTACCATCGCTCAGTTAGATACCAAGTATTAATCGTCTGCATAGTATGTACAAAAAAACAATTTTTGTTCAAAACCCAGGAAATCAAATTAGGATAAAAATCTGAAAGCCAGACATTTCTAGCAATAGTAGACTATCATCGGTTCATTTTTATTCAAAATATAATTGCCTCTTTAAAAATTGGATGCAACATCTAACATGTATTCTCTTTCTCTGTCAGTAGCAAATTGAGATTTATGAAAATGCATTACCAGTAGTAAAATTGATATTAGCATGCACATGGGGTACATGTCTATGAGAAATGTTTGCTATTTTTTGCTTTCCTTTCTCATATTTTAAATTAAACCATCATTTTAATAAAAAATCTGTTGAGAGCCCAGAAGATGATGCACAAATAATGTTCTGGTACTGTAAAAGCATTAATTGTCTGCTGGTTTTTATTAATTTTGTGCCAAGATTATGATTTTAAAACCCAGTAACATTTCCCAACACATAAAAACAATCAAATTAAATGCCAGTGAAAATAAATTACAGTACTTACTACAACATGTACTTCAGGTGTGAACATTTATTTGTACAGATGCAAGTAGATCTAACATTCAATTTAGAAATATTTAGTAGCCTACCTCTTTGTGCTTTTTACCAAACTTCCTCTTAAACATATTGTCAGTGTGTTGTTAATGAGAATAGGAAACCATGTTGACCAATCACTACAGTGCCTTCACAGCCATTATCGCACCTGTTAAACGGTGATCTGAAACAAATAAAATAAAACATCACTGTTAATATTATATAAATTTGTTATTGTAAGCAAATACAAACTAAAACCTGTATATTATTTATTTGTTATATACTTATGGGTTTGTATCAACAAGATTTTCTTCAGAAAATCATTCACTTTTGTTTTGCATTAATTTCTATGGTGTAAGTACACTGTATTTCTTTATATCTCAAAAGTGAGCTCCATAGGAACAGGTATTATTGTAATAAATCTCAATAGTGTAATTTATACTTGAATGTCCAATCACATTCAGTGGGAATTTCCCTCCCACAATGCAATGTCATATGCTAAGTAACATGTTCAAATGTAAAACTGAAATTTCCCTCCCATAATGCATTGTAATGCTAAGTAACATGCTCAGTAGATGTAAAACTGGAATTTCCTCCAATAATGCATTGTAATGCTCAGTAATAAGCTCAGTAGATGTAAAACTGGAATTTCTCTCCCATAATGCATTGTTATGCTAAGTAACATGCTCAGTAAATGTAAAACTGGAATTTCCCTCCCATAATGCATTGTAATGCTCAGTAATCAGCTCAGTAGACTGCTTGAAAATCAATTGGATTTTCTCCAACATTCTCTTACTAAGCCCTAACCATGGACTACATGTAAGTGCGTCTAATCAGACAAGTGTAATTGCATATTTGAATATTCTTGTACATGTATACACACATGTATGATGATTACAATTTAAAAACAAACAAACATGGAAACAATATTGCATTGTTCATTGTGTGAGTTAAAGCACCGTCCCTTGGTGTTGAGGAATGGTGGTTAAAGATAAAGATAACTTCTTACAAAAATAAACCATACCCTGTATAAGGAACTACAGATAAAGCCTTGGGCTATAGATAAAGACCATTCAAGTGAAAGACAGGGACAATCCAATGGGAATAAATGTTGGGACACAGTGACCTAGCTTCTCAGCACACCCATAAAATCCCCCTAAGCACGTCATACTTTTTATTACGGTCACCCACCAATAGTAACCCTCATTTTTCTATCAATGTTCACCTT